AAAGATTTAAAGTGTCAAGTATACACTAATGCTTGCATCTATTGTACACCAAACTAATAAAAAACTTTAAGATTATAGGAGATCACACTGACTTCCTAGGTTGCTGCTTTAGTAATATTAATCTTCTGTTGGCTACATTCGTAATTGGCCTCTTCTTTTCTAAAGTGAACTATTGTTAAAACAAGCTCTCTAGACCTTTTATAAGTGTTCAACTTCTCCAACCTCCAAATTACTTTGTTCAGAAAAAAATTACTGTTCTGCGCTAGTAACTAATTAGGATTGCCTTGGTAAGCTCTTTGATTGACAAATAATTGTTGCTCAAGTAGTTCAAATATTTTGTGTTCTGATAATTAACTTGGTTTTAGCAGCTAGTAAAGGACAATCAAGCATGGGCATCAGGCGATAATGGAAGCAGCAACTTGGTACAGGTGGCATTTGAGACAACTTCCTTGATTACATGTTTTGATTTCCTGGTGTACATGATGACTTTTTACCAGGTGCGTCACTATTACTATTCCCAGCTGCATCAATCTGTGGTTAGACAGTGGCAGATTTTATATACTAGAAAAATTGTGAACTATGTTTTTTGGATGAGCCCAGTGGACATACTTATCCTGCTAGTGTTTATTCCTCATTTTATGCAAGATTGGTCCATTAATTCATTAACCAATGTATTCTGTGTTAACACATTAACTTTGCAGTGGGTCTTAGTAAATATAATAAATTTCTTGTTGTTCAATATTCAATAATCAATCCCTTTTGAGAGAAATTATTGCTGGATGAAATCTTGTGATTATGTTCCTGTCATCCTTAATTACATTTTTGGCCTTCCAAAAATGGCTTTACACTGGATAAGGGACAGAGTATGTAGCAACTCATCATTGAAAGTAGAACTGTTGCAACTTAAATTTTCTTGGGGTATCACCAAGTTACTCTTTTTTCAGGTTACACGGCCAAAGTTGGGGTCCGTCCCACAACACCCAAACACTCACCCCATGACTCCAAATGGGCTAGAAACACCTGACACTAGTAGCACAAGGGCAAGCAAGCCTTGGCAGGTCTGATTAATCTATCCACATCTCGGTATTTAATGGGTTTATTAGATGTCTAGTTCCTATTTTATTTCTGTTCTGTGGTATAGGAGTTCCCATTTTTGCTAGTTTCTGGGGCACCTTGACAAATCACCCATCAGTTGTTCCAAACTTTTCCAAAGCAAATTCATAACAAATGGAGGAGTTGAAAATTCTACTTCTGCACCTTAGTATTGGGGAGTTGTGATGGTTTTTTTTGAAAACCCAGTGGATCTTGCTCCTTTTAAACCAAGCGTTCTTCCACTCTTCCATCCTTATGCTGCACAGAGCTATCTAGTCAAGGAAGGTAGGGCTTGAACTATATGTAGTCTCATGAGCCCAAGGGCTAGGCAAAGGGCTTTTAACATGTTGGTTTATGGGCTCTCCCAGATGGGCTGCACACGTTTATTAACATTTTCTTGGGTTACGAATGTGTCAACCTTAATCACTTTTACACTGTATGCGTGTGTGCGCGTGTGGTGTGCGTGTGCTGTGTGTGTGTTTGTTTTTTTTTTTGGCGCACATTTAATCCCCCAGACCTCGCAATGGCGAAAATCTTGTGCACCGGTTTCACCTTTTTAGCAGAGGCTGCAAATAGTTTGCTTCTATCAATATTTTTGTTTTCACCTATTGAGGGGTTGGGGGGAGAGGAATGAACTCAAGTTTTGTGCCCAAATACCCTTGGGAATTGGCTCAAGTTGGACTCGTCAATTTGGGTTTTGATTTTTCTTTGGTCATCAAGTATTATATTTTTTTGGTTGTCAATCTGGTTTATGGGGTTTTTTTTTTTGGGTCTGATTCTGGGTTAAGGTTGAGTAGACTCAAAATGGATTACTTTTTTGTTTGGACGTTTAGGAGGATATCCAATTCTTTTTGCGGTCGAATTCCCTCTTGTCATAGATGAGGTCACCTCACACACTCTGTTTATACCTCCAGCTTAGTGAATCTTTGGTGGCAGGTCAAGACCAACTGGTCCACCTTGAGATGGACCTGTAATGCATCAACTATGGTCCATTTGCGATAATTTTGGCCATGCCCAAGAATGGTGGTGGACCAAGGCGTAGGTGAGGGAGTAGTCTTCACCCCTAATCACTTAAAAAAGAATCTGTCCACCTCCATTAGTAGGACAAGCTTTAGTTCCCATCCCTATCTTGCGGGTAAATTTTGATCTTCAGTCTCCGACTTAACCTCCGTCCTTATCTGGCTTTTGTCCAAGCCCATTACAATTAATTTTTATGATTTTAAGAAAAAAAAATTATAACAATTAAAGTACAAGTTATATCACATGATTTGATCAAAATCAAAAACAAAAAAAAAGTTAATAACATAATCCTTGCATAATTAAGTAAAAAGAACAACAATAATAAAGACGTTATATATGTATGCCTTTCTCGACGTTTTGATTCTCTTGAATTAGGACTGAGGACTCTTAAATTCTAATAGAGATATAAGTTTATATAATAGAGATACAACGAATTTAATGGAGCGAGACAAAGATAAGTTGTGGTCCATATTGTATCCATCTTGGCACAAATTTATAACGGTATTATCATATATATCTATCGTTTAATACGTATAATCCGTTCCCAATTCAAACGGGCTGGATTTTGATGAATCCTTATTTTTCTCCGGCCATCCCATGCCTAAACTAATTAGTTGAGCACCCCTCTTCGTCTCTCTCTCTCTCTCTCTCACACACACACACTCGCACAAACCTGCACACGTGTACACTTAGGTGTTTGTAATTTGTTAGAGAAAGATGGCACCTATTATCATGCCGGTTGAAGAACTATATTAGGTGAGATCTAGATGACTTGGGAGAAAGGGTGGAAGAAGATCCGACACAAGTAGAGTAAATTATGGGTCAGTTGGACATTTTTATACCTTCCAAGCTTGCAAAAAAGGATAAACTGTTCTAGGGAAATTAAAATGTCCTTGCTCTTCATTCATCAAGTGTGATTGGCAAACTCAATGTCATGTGTAAATGTTTTTTTATGTATAAATTTCCGTTGATTTTGATTTAAATAATTTGTAACCATTAATTAGAAAAATCATAAACTAAAAAAAAATCACAAGGTAAAAGAATTTTACACATGACACTTTTTATTGATGAAAAATAGAGATATAATACCATAAATTAGTGTTTCGGTACCGATAATGACTTTATGATTTTGTCTCAAGGCCCCTTTATCTTGTCATATGTTGACAATTACTCTATTATCAACGTAAGGTTGTTTTATTCTTATATGGGTGCCACAGGTTTACGTTAAAGGAATATTTTCGTTGCACTCGGAGGTTAACCTATGTATATCTGACTCTAATCATATTTAGTAGTGATAAGAGCCTAATGCACTGGATTATTCACACACCCACACACATTGATGGCGAATAATTGCCTAAATTAAGTGGCCTTTGAACTCGCGGATCTAGATCTCCTCAAATATATGCTTTGGTTAATTTCTATCCTCTATTGTTGAGGACCACTCATACACAGTTGATTACATTTAAAATCTGAAGATGTTTTATCGTTGATGAAAATTGAAAAATAATGTAATAGGGAGTATTCAAATCTTTGGACTCACGCTTCCAACCAATGGCGGAGCTGCCCTTGGGCAAGGTGGTCCATGACCACCCTCAATTTTGGAAAAAAAATATCATATATATTGTATGTAAACATATGTGTGTGTAAACTCACTTACACATTCCTTCATTTCGTGTCAATTTTATTACTTTCGTATATATAGTTATTCTTAAATAGCTAGGAATAAATAACAGACACGCTTTGTTTGTTTACGTTTGAATAAGTTTTTGAGATGTTGATGATCAATTTATAATATTTCTTTTAAAAATTAAGTCATCCTTGATGAGTAATACAAGTGGGGTCATTTCCTTAAGTACATGACTTGAAAAGACAAACAATTTGGAGTTAATGGTCATACATTAGTTGACAAAAATAAGGGTAGTCCCGAAGACTTTCATTATTATGTGGTTTAGAAAGAATAAGATTATTCTCACTATAAACACAATATTAAATAAATAAATATACATATATATAGACATAGAATCTTGCGTTTCTTGATTAGGGGAGATTAGTTAGTGCTTGAACTAAAAGTGTCTAACTAAGAACAACTTCCTGACTCCGTCCCTCGTTATAACCAAATATTGTTGGATGCAATTACTCATAAACCATGCAAGTTAGGCTAAGTAGAGGGTGAATCAAACTTTGGTTTGTATTTCTTTAGTTGCAACTGAATACTCATAAGAGATCAAGTGAGGAGGGGAAAAAGGGAGGGGGGGGGGGGGGGCAGGTTTCATCAGGAGAACACATAACATGTGCATCATGTGAAACTAGCAGTTGATAAAATTGTTTGGTTGCCCCAATTTGGACACTACCCTTGTGTCGGAATCTTAGTTTGATCATTGCTTTTACAACCAAAGAAGAAAAACCAAGACATTGTCTACTGGCTTTTTGATATTGTGAATGATATGTCCCTTCGCCAGAACCAGAGCTGTGACTAAACAATACCTACTACTACTTGGCATGGACACCCACCAAATGAAGAAAAACAAGACATCCTTTGGTGGCTTTTTTGGTGTGAGAATGATGAACTAGACATGGTAATGCTCCAATGAGATTATGTGAAAGTATATATGTAATTTTTTTTTAAATGGCAGATGACCTATTCTCGCTTTCAGTGACAACCATTATTTTTTCATTGGTTCCTATCCATACACGTAGTCGATTTATCATTGAGAAAAGTTAAGAAAAATATAGAAAAGGTAGGTGTGAGTAATTTTAACAAGAGTTGTCAGCAAATATGCACTCGACATTGAAGTAGTTGTAGAGTCGGGGGTGGAGGCAGGGTTGGGCAGGGGGAAAAATTTTTAAATTATAATTTTGAAAACTTTTAAGGTTAGTTTAAAATTATAATAAAATTTAAATTTTCTAATAAATTGCCACCACTCATTTTTTTTAATGAAATAAAAACTTAGGCTCAAGGTTCCCTTATATATATTTAATCTCACAATTTTTTCTTTAGAGTCTCTAGTTATCTCTAATCATTCTGTAATGATTCACTTAAGTTATTGAATTAATCCATCTCCAAATTTGATTACTAAGATATAGATTAATATTTTTGATCTATTATCCAAGTTCGAATATACTATATCATATTATAAGATTTTAGATTTTTGGGCATAAAAAAATTTGACCTAATTATGATTCAATTTAATATGCATACACTAATACGTATATGTAAACATTTGATAAAACTAAGAAATGAAATTGAATTAAAATTACAATGCGACACACACACACACACATATAAATATATAAATAAATATTTAATGAATTCGAATATGGATTATATAAATGAAATTCAGTTTTCAAGACAAATTGTTATTCATATGAGTCGAAATGTTATCATTGACAAGTCCACTCGCAAAATGATATGTCAAAATAACATTTTCAATGAAATTGTCTTTATTTTAGTATTTTATACAAAAAAAATTATATTAATTTTTCTTAGTCAAGTCCTATTATTTTTCACGTGAATTTATATGTGAAATCTTTGAAAATAATAAAAAAAAAATAATATGAAGAATTATTTTATAAAGTGTGTTAGATTAGGAATATTTTTTTTTATAGAGAATGAAATTTTTAGAAAACAATCATGCTCATTAGATGTAACGAATTATGATAATTATTATGTAGTCGTTCTCTTTAACTCGATGATTGCCTTCATTGAAAAGCGACTCTGGCTCCGCCCCTGCGTAGAGTTAACTAGCTCATGACAGGAACTCGAAAATCACATTATTCACTACTATAATACTAGATAAGCTAGGTTAGTTTGAAAAAAGAATAATTTAATTTTGACATGACAAATTCATTTAATAATTATTGTTTGAAGAAAAATATTCGGTTTTATTTTTCATTGTTTTTTTCATTTCTTCATCTGGTATTGTGTGAAACATTGCAAAATTTTTTGTAAGTGGTTTTGCTTGTACGTGGATCGAATTAATTTTTAGGTTATTAGGGAATTTTCAGTTATGAGTTTGATTAAAAGAGAAAGATGTTCTAGTCATTGCGCTTCGGTTTATAGATTGTGCGAGTCAACTTAAAATTGACACAATTAATAAACTAATTGAGTTAATATCAGGTCATCTAATACCATTAATTAAATAATTAGTGTTAGGATTAACCACTACTTTTCAGGAATATTAAATTTGCATGAATTAAATAATGACACGACACGATTGAATTGCAAACAACATATCAAAGAGATTTGAATCCGACAATCTATCTAA